GTATAGGTGGACAGACATTTGTATCTATAGATTGTCTATGTATAGGTGGACAGACATTTGTATCTATAGATTGTCTATGTATAGGTGGACAGACATTTTGTATCTATAGATTGTCTATGTATAGGTGGACAGACATTTGTATCTATATAGTGTCTATGTATAGGTGGACAGACATTTGTATCTATATATTGTCTATGTATAGGTGGACAGACATTTGTATCTATATTGTCTATGTATAGGTGGACAGACATTTGTATCTATATTGTCTATGTATAGGTGGACAGACAGACATTTGTATCTATATAGTGTCTATGTATAGGTGACAGACATCTATGTCTATGTATAGGTGGACAGACATTTGTATCTATAGATTGTCTATGTATAGGTGGACAGACATTTGTATCTATATAGAGTGTCTATGTATAGGTGGACAGACATTTGTATCTATAGATTGTCTATGTATAGGTGGACTTCTATAGATTGTCTATGTATAGGTGTCAGACATTGTATCTATAGATTGTCTATGTATAGGTGGACAGACATTTGTATCTATAGATTGTCTATGTATAGGTGGACAGACATTTGTATCTATAGATTGTCTATGTATAGGTGGACAGACATTTGTACTATATAGATTGTCTATGTATAGGTGGACAGACATTTGTATCTGTAGATTGTCTATGTATAGGTGGACAGACAGACATTTGTATCTATAGATTGTCTATGTATAGGTGGACAGACATTTGTATCTATAGATTGTCTATGTATAGGTGGACAGACATTTGTATCTATAGATTGTCTATGTATAGGTGGACAGACATTTGTATCTATAGATTGTCTATGTATAGGTGGACAGACATTTGTATCTATAGATTGTCTATGTATAGGTGGACAGACATTTGTATCTATAGATTGTCTATGTATAGGTGGACAGACATTTGTAGACATTTGTATCTGTAGATTGTCTATGTATAGGTGGACAGACATTTGTATCTGTAGATTGTCTATGTATAGGTGGACAGACATTTGTATCTGTAGATTGTCTATGTATAGGTGGACAGACATTTGTATCTGTAGATTGTCTATGTATAGGTGGACAACGTCACACCAATGGAGATTGAGCTGAGTTGGAGCAGAGAAGTTTGAGTAAGAGATAAGGAAGAGAGTGGCCGATCAGCATTGACTCCGACACTGCAGCGTCTCCTCCGCTGAGGATAGTGGACGGATCGGAGCAGCCAGAGGCAGGGCAGGCACAGCAGCGCCAGGAACAGCCCTCTGCTGGGCTCCCACCATTGCCAGCCTCTGCACTAGCCCTCTTCATTCTTCTCTGTGGATACACCAAGCTGACACCATTTCACTGTGGACTTTACACCCTCTGTCAGACATGGGAGACATGGGAGACCCTCCAAAAAGTAAGCAGCCTTTTTCTACCCTAGCCAGGATCGCCTTTTCCCCCCATAAAATGCATGAGCATACATACCCCTGACACCTCGTCTCTGGGACTCTCAGGTTTGGAAATGTCGTGCCTGGAATTTTTTTATATATTTTTTTTTCTGCATGCAACATCCTGTTAATACATTTTTTAATATGCAAAAAAAAAAAAAAAAAAAAACAGATCCTCCTTCAAGTGAATTTGCACAGACCAGTCCCTGGAAATGTCATTCTGGCAACTGGGATCACGGTTGGACTTTAGAGGCACTCTGGCCCTGGTGTCACTGTGTTTGCAGCCTAATGATTGGGGGGCATAGAAGGGTGCCCAGCCTATGCCTCCATGATGAGTGTTTTCCATGCCACTTGCAAGCCTGTGATTGAACTGACACATGTAATGGTGTGTATGATCTGGGCTGCCAACTCTGACTCCTCTGCTCTGCCTTGACAGCAAGCAGTCAAAAGGTTTCAATAAAAAAATTTAAAAAAAATCCTAAATTCTACCTTTTTCCCCTTAAACCTTGTCACAAAAAAGGACCAGATCAACCTACCTGATTTTTAAAGGTACACTTGCAAATTCCCATTGACAATCCCCAGCTTACACCCAACACATGATCCGCCTCCTGTGTCAACGAGTCAAAGATCCTGATGGCATACATCAATTATCTCTCTCTCCCCCCTAAAAAAAAAGTGAGATCTATTTTATTTATTTTATTTTGAAAGCCAGACCAGGCACATTCAGATTCCCAGAGCACACCTTAGGTGGAAAAAATAAAATAAAACATTGGTTTAGCACTGTTTTTGGTTAAGCCTAATGCTAATTTTTTTTCCTATTTTTTTTTTTCCAGAAAAGCGACTAATTTCACTGTGTGTCGGCTGCGGAAATCAAATTCACGACCAATATATACTGAGGGTATCTCCAGACCTGGAATGGCATGCAGCCTGTCTCAAGTGTGCTGAATGCAACCAATATTTAGACGAAACTTGCACGTGCTTTGTTAGGGATGGCAAAACGTACTGTAAAAGGGACTATATCAGGTATGCCCACTTCAAAAAAGCCCTTTTGTTTTACTTGAAAAAAAAACAACCTCCTTTTGGAAATTTTTTTTCCCTTTAAAATACATTTTTTTATGGAGCTGATTTTTTTATATAGATTATTTTATTTTTGTATATATATATCTATATATATTTTTTTTTTACTTTTTATTGTTTTTTTTTTTTTTGCTTTTATGCTTTAGCTTTTTATTTTTATTTGTTTTTATGCTCTAGCGTTTTGTTTTATTTTATTTTAGTTATCTTTTATGCTCTAGCATTTATTTATTTCTTCTTTATCTTAATCCACTCTGCCTGGTGGCTATGTGCAGGTTTTTAGATTTGAATGTTGCTGTGGATCATTGCAATTAAAATGTAGATTTGCCTAGAGAAGATACTTTAAACCGTGCATTGATGCTGTATTTTGAAACCCACTAATCTCAATGGGATCACGTTTACGTTTAGATATATGAATGAATAATTATAGCCAGATTCAGCACATCGTAATAGAAGAGTAGAAATAATAATAAAACAAATACAAAAATAAACTAGCTGTGTTTTGGGGCAGGGCTGTCTGCCTTTCCCTTATCTTATCTGTCCTGATGAATTAGACTGAACAGATCAAATTGCCCATCATTTGGAGGCAAACAATTGGGATATTTAGATAAAGGCAACTGCTTCCTTCCTAACATTTAAATCTGGATGCTGATAAAGAAGTCTAAATAGCAGTTGTGACACAACAGACACCCAAGCAAAACTTCAGCCAATGTTTATCCTGTTTCCTCCAACGCCCCTCATCAAGGATGGGTTTTAAAAAAAAAATACAAATTACTTAATTTTTTTAATTAAAATAAATACACTTTTTATAAACTTTGATGATTTGTTAGGTTATTATTTTCCCAAATACGTGTCTTTTATACCCAGCTGATGCAGAACTCTTTTATTATTTATTATCCATGATTGTAAATGATCTGTTGCTCTAACTAGGCTAGCTTTAAAACAATCAGGAATTTTTCATTTTTTTTTTTAATTCGAAACAAATTGAAGGACGACACATGTTATCTATTTGTATTATTATTTGTCGAATATTCACATAATTAGAAATGACCAGGCAGAAGTTGGTAGTATCGTTTTAGGTTTTTTATTTTTGCTGTTGGTTTTATTTTCATTTTGATTTTCCTGAAATTGCTATCATTTTTAGGAAAAGCAGGACCACACTTTTATTTTTTTACAATTCTTAATTGTAGAATTGTGTTTTTTTTAGGTGATCAGGCAAAACCTTTGTAGTATCTGTTTTTTTTTTATTTGATTTTAAATTGCTAACATTTGAGGAAACGTTTAATTAGAACTATTACTGTTAAAATGAAATATTAAAATAAAGTGAGCTGGTTTTTTTTATTGGCTACTATGCCTCTCCAGTCTCTTTATATTTTTTTATAACTTTTTTTTTTTTGTTTCATATTTTGGGTATGTGTCATGCTTGTCCCCTGTACTCTGAAGGGTGATCAGCATTGCCTGATGTCATTCTATGTTTCATTTTTTTTTTTTTTTTCCTTGAAGGAGTAGATTTCGCAGTTGTTGAGTCAGACTGCACAATAAACAGAGATGTGGGCAGAGTTGTGATAAGAGCAAGGACTTTCAAGGAGCCACTTGTATAGTAGTGACATTGCTGGGCAGCCTGTGAGACCTGATACTGAGTGTGTATGTGTCTGCTCTCTCCCGGGCCCTGCAGGTTGTATGGGATCAAGTGTGCCAAGTGCAATATCGGCTTCAGTAAGAATGACTTTGTGATGAGGGCCCGCTCCAAGGTCTATCACATCGAGTGTTTCCGCTGCGTGGCCTGCAGCCGCCAGCTCATCCCCGGGGACGAATTCGCTCTGCGGGAGGACGGCCTCTTCTGTCGGGCCGACCACGATGTGGTGGAAAGGGCCAGCCTGGGGGCCGGGGACCCCCTCAGTCCGCTGCATCCGGCCAGACCCCTGCAGATGGCAGGTACTTCTTCATCCTTTCTTCTCATGACACTGGGAGACTGCTGCTGACCACCAGCCGCTCTGATTGTGGGGGGCTGCATGGGTACCCCTCCAAAAAAAAAAATGGATGTGGTTGTATATGCTGCACACTCTTCTATTCAATTCCTAAAACATCTGTACACACACACACATATATGTATGCAAAATTAAAAAATTGCCCTTAGTACAGTTCTGTGCACACACACACATATGCAGAGTTATCAGAGGGTATGGTAAAAGTAAAAAAAAAAGCCCTATTAAATTTATAAAATACCCATGCTTGTATGCAGAACATACAAAAAGAGAAGGTATTTAAACCAAATGTTCTAATAGATTTTTAATGGATCTGTGTATGTGAACACATACATGTGGCACAATTACAAGAGGGTATGCACACATACATACAAAAAAAAATGCCCTTAGTACAGTTCTGTGCACACACACACACATATGCAGAGTTATAAGAGGGTATAGCAAAAGTGGAAAAAACGCCCTATTAAATTTATAAAATATCCATGCATGTATGCAGAACATTGAAAAAGAGTTAGAAGGTATTCACAAGTTTAAAAAAAAAATGTTCTAATAGATTCTTAATGGATCTGGTATATGAACACATACATGTGGCACAATTACAAGAGGGTATGCACACATACATACATACAAAAAATGCCCTTAGTACAGTTCTGTGCACACACACACATATGCAGAGTTATAAGAGGGTATAGCAAAAGTGGAAAAAAAGCCCTGTAAATTTATAAAATATCAATGCATGTATGCAGAACGTACAAAAAGAGTCACAAGTTTTTTAAAAAAAATGTTCTAATAGATTCAGAATGGATCTGTGTACGTGAACACATACATGTGGCACAATTACAAGAGGGTATGCACACATTAAAAAATGCCCCTTAGTACAGTTCTGTGCACACACACACATATGCAGAGTTATAAGAGGGTATAGCAAAAGTGGAAAAAAACGCCCTATTAAATTTATTAAATATCCATGCATGTATGCAGAACATAGAAAAAGAGTTAGGAGGTATTCACAAGTTAAAAAAAAAAACGTTCTAATAGATTCTTAATGGATCTGTGTATGTGTATACATACATGTGACACAATTACAAAAAGGTATGCACATAGTAAAAATTGCCCTTAGTACAGTTCTGTGCACACACACACACATATGCAGAGTTATAAGAGGGTATAGCAAAAGTGGAAAAAAAAGCCCTGTTAAATTTATAAAACATCAATGCATGTATGCAGAACGTACGAAAAGGGTCACAAGTTAAAAAAAAATGTTCTAATAGATTCAGAATGGATCTGTGTATGTGTGCACATACATTGTGGCACAATTACAAGAGGGTATGCACACATTAAAAAATGTCCTTAGTACAGTTTTTTACACATATGCAGAGTTATAAGAGGGTATATCAAAAGTAAAAAAGAATGACTTATTAAATTAATAGAATATCCATGCATGTATGCAGAACATACAAAAAAAGTTAGAAGGTATTCACAAGTTTTAAAAAATGTTCTAATAGATTCATAATGGATCTGTGTATGTGTACACATACATGCTGCACAATTGCAAGAGGGTTTTCACACAGTAAAAAATACTATTAAATTAATTATATGTCTATTCATGTGTACATACAGATGTGTGCATCATTATAAAAGGGTATGTACAAGTTTATTTAAAAAAAAAAGTCCTAAATTCATAATAGATCTGTGTACCTGTACACATGTATGTGACAGAATTACACGAGGATATGCACATGTAAAAAACACTATTAAATTCATTGTGTACATACAAATGTATGCATCATTATAAGGGGTTATGTACAAGTTTATTTTTAAAAAATGCCCTATACTCCTAATAGATCTGTGTATGTGTACACATGCATGTGACAGAATTACAAGAAGGTATGCACACCTAAAAAACACTATTAAATTAATTATAGACCTATGTATGTGTACATACAAATATATGCATCATTATAAGGGGTTATGTACAAGTTTATTAAAAAATGTCATATTTTCCTAATAGATCTGTGTATGTGTACACATGCATGTGGCAGAATTACAAGTGGGTATGCATTCAAATAAAAAATACATTTAATTAATTAAAGATCTATGAATGTGTACATACAAATGTATGCATTGTTATAAGAGATTATGTACATGTTTATAAAAAAAAAATGCCCCATATTCCTAATAGATCTGTGTATGTGTGCGCATGCATGTGACAGAATTTCAAGAGGGTATGCACACCTTAAAACACTATTAAATTCATTATAGATCTATGCATGTGTACAAACAAATGCCATCATCATCATAAAAGGTTATGTACAAAAATGCCCTATATTCATAATAGATCTATGTATGTGTACACATGAATGTGGCAGAACTAAAAGAGGGTATGCACACTTAAAAATAGTGTAAAATTTCATTATAGATCTATGCATGTGTACAGAAAAATGTATGCAGGATTATAAATTATGTACAAGTTTAAAAAAAAAAAATGCCCCATTAAATTCGTTAAAGATCTGTGAATGTGTACAGATAAATGTATGCAGGATTACAAGAGGTTACATATACATATATACATGTACATATACAGGTTTATAAAAAAAAATGTCCTATTAAATTCATAAAAAAAAATCTTTTGTGTGCATACAAATGCATGCTTAATTTTAAGAGGGTATACACAAGTAATAAATGCCCAAATTTATAATAGTTCTGTGCATGTGCAAAGTTGAGTTATAAGAGGGTATAGCACACATAGAAAATGCCTTATTGCATTCATAATATATATGTGCAGAATTTTAGGAAGGGCAAGTTAGCACATAATTTTAAAACGTTATATAAAAAACATATAACCCAACATTTTCCTTACTGCATTGTATAAAGGCATATATATATATATATATATATATATATATATATATATAAATAAAATTTGTGGACATCATTTGTGTGTGTGCATGTATCATATACTTGTGTGTTTGTGTATATATATATATATATATATATATATATATATATATATATATATATATATATATATAATGTGTGCATGTATTTTATGTACATATATTTGTGTGTGTATATATATATATATATATATATATATATATATATATATATATAAAATGTGTGCATGTATTTTATGTACATATATTCTTGTATTTTGTGTACATATGTATGTTTCCTTACATTTTGGTTATGGATATGCATTCCACATGCACAAACACATTTATTGTATATTGCCTCTCAATCCTAGTATTGTATGGTGCCTGTGTTGTGTATAATCCCCTGTAATGTACACGTGTTGTGGGTGTGTATAGAAGTGCATGTTTCTATCCAGGCACATGGACCATCATGTTCTATATGTATTTCTCATGACCCCATTCTACAGGGATGCAGTCAGTGGGTTATTATTTCTGCATTACATACATGTAGTAATCATAGAGGTAATCCTGCATGTACACTGTAGGAATACATCAGCACACTGTCCCCTGCACACTGTAGAAGTGTTTAGGGGAGGGGGGGGGGGTATTTGTAGGGGTGGGATTTCTCGACCCACCCAACACCCAGGCAGTGCCCTCCTCAGCAGTGTGCAGGGGGTAGAAGCAGAGGAATGGAGGCACCTTCTCCAGGCTGTAATTTTAAACTGTCAACAAGCTAATCTGCAGTAATTGTCAGCTCGAGTGATTGGTGCAGTTTTCAGGCCTTGCTGGTGATATGAGGGGGGCCCAGATCTTACATTCGGGTCCTGTAACTCCATCCTACATCTAAGAGGGACCGACATCCTCCCCATCCAGGAGCAGGGACTGCACTCTCCTCCCAGTCCTCAGATCCCAGCACACAAACCACAAGGATCAGATAGCACCGTTTGGATAAACTAGTTGTTATAATCCAAAAAGAGAAATTTTCCAGTCCATTTCTGACTAATTGAAGGGAGATTGGATACATTTAACCAAGTCAACAAAATACCTTGGAAAGGGGGGGGGGGGGGGGGGGGTGGAGTAGGGGGGGGGGGGATAGGAGAACCAGAAAGACTGTTCGGGAGAAGGAAACCTATGTGAGCCCCCCGCACAGTCCTGTGTTGTTCCAAGTCCATGGAGTTGAAAGGCTCAGCCTGTGTTTTGGTATCTACCTGTATCTTTTACAAACAGCTCTGCTAACCACATACTTAGGAAACCAAAGCGATCAACCCTCGTTCACCCTCCATGCGACTTTTTATTGTCGGCCCTTATCAGCTTAACACAATATTTAAGAAGAAACAATGTTTACCCTCTTTTATTGGATTTTATATCTCGCTTTAGAAAGTTTGAATAGCCGGCCTGATTGCAGGCTTTTGCTGGGCTGGTTAGCAGTGGCAGTCTCATTGGTGTCTTATTTATTCAGCAAATGTTCTTAGTGAAACTACAAAGGGTTTTTTTTTCCTTTTTTTTTTTTTTTGTGAAAGTATTTTCAGGGATCATAAATAACTGCAGAGGTTTATCTGAAGAGAACTGACGTTTGGGTTGAATTCGGCTGATTAAACGCGGCCGAAACGTCGCTGTTGGGCTTTCCTTAGTGTTCTATGGATACAGGACGCCAGCAGGACTCAGCTGTCTTCCGATTGGCTGACCTGGTTCCTCGGAGACCACAACTGGGAGGGGGGGGGGAACTATCTTCAATTGTCACACACCAGAGTACAGTGAAGGGATGGCATTTATTTTTTATTTTACGGTAGCCCAGTAAATGCAGTATGTATTTAAAACGAATAAAATAAATATTTATTATAAACTAGAAAGGGTGGTCAGTATATTCATATTAGATGTTTTATGCTCTCTCATAGTGGCTCGGCCTCTGAACATAGAGATAGTGAACTAGGTGCAATATATGGAACAAATGAGCGAATGTACAATAGCAGTAGATCATGTGTCTGATCTGATGCTCCTATAGTTTGTGTGAGTTGAGGAAGTGTGGGGGGGGGGGGGGTTTCCCAAAAATTAGAGTTTTGCAGATTTTTTTAGTGGATAAGTACAGAAGGCTAAAAACCTTGATATCCTTTACTATGGGGTAATATATATATATATATATATATATATATATATAAATATAAAATGTGTATATATAAATATAAATGAAAAAAAAAAAAATTTAAAAAAAAAAAAATATATATATATATATATATATATATATATACATATAAAATTTTCATTTATATTTATATATACACATTATATATATATATATATATATATATATAATATATATAAATAAATAAAAAATGTGTATATATATATATAAAATATATATGAAAATTATATATATAATATATATATATATATACATATACACACACATATATTATAGGTGTGTATATATATATATATATTTATGAAAAATACACTTTAGTATAGTATGTGCTCTTAACAGAAATTTCCTCTATATATACACTCTATATATATATATTTATTTATCGAAGTATGTACAAACATAAATAGCCTCTATATATGTGTACTGGAGTATGTACACACAGGAATACCCTCTATATATGTTTATGGGGGCATGTGCATACAGACATGCCATATATATATATATATATACACACACGAGTATGTACACACAGAAATATGTAATGTATAAATATATATATATATGTGTGTGTGTTTGTTCTGAAAGGAATAAAAATGCATTCGAATTAGAACTGCAGAAATATAGCAGGTGCAGTTATATATATATATATATATATGAGATTTACTAAAGAAGTAGAAGCTATTGATTTAGCAAAGTGAATGTAAGTAAATAAGGAGGACTTGTGTGGACCTTGAATACCCAATCCCGTACCAACAATGAGGATTTTTGCCTAGCAGATGACTGGTTGCTTGAAGTGACCCCCAACTCCCCCCTAATTCTGAACACTTTTAGTGAATCCCCTGTAGCTCCCCCCCCCCCTTTTAGTAAACCCCATGAACATGGCTAGGACCCTAATGGCAGGCCGTGGTGGGGGTGATCTGGGCAGGCTACCGCGAGGCTTTTGTCTTATGAATCGTTCATTGATTTTACAGCAGAACCCATTTCTGCCCGGCAGCCGGCCCTCAGGCCTCATGTCCACAAGCAGCCCGAGAAGACCACCCGGGTCCGGACGGTGCTCAATGAGAAGCAGCTTCACACCTTGCGGACCTGCTACGCCGCCAACCCCCCGACCGGACGCACTGATGAAGGAGCAGCTGGTGGAGATGACCGGTCTGAGTCCTCGGGTCATCAGGGTCTGGTTCCAGAATAAGAGGTGTAAAGACAAGAAGAGGAGCATCATGATGAAACAATTACAGCAACAGCAGCCCAACGACAAAACGGTGAGGAGAGGCGACAATACCATCCTGGCCGGGGTATAGGGGGCCATGGAAGGGGGGGGGGGGGAGTGAAGGAGCAGACACTCAGCAATGAGGAAAATCCTCTGCAACCTCACAGACAGAAGGATTCCTATAGTCTGATTGATACATTGGAATCTGGAAGCTAAAACATTGTGTGTATATGGATGTGGCATAGCTTATGGCCATGTATGATAACTGTAGGAGCATTGCAGTATAGGTGTGTATGTGTGTGTTTATACATAGTGCAGAAACCTGCCTATAATATAATACCATAGAGCATGCAACATTATTTTTGGTATTGCTACAAACATACCCTTTAATAAGTATGAAAAAATAAGTAAAATAAAAATGTATATATATATATATATATATATATATATATATATAATATGAGTTTTTGAGTGTTTGTGTGTAAAATAGAAAAAAAAAAATATAAAGAGGGTGATTTACTAAAACTGGAGCAGACAGAATCTGAAGCAGCTGTAGATAATAACCAATTAACCAATCAGCTTCTAATTTTAGCCTGTGCATTTAAGCTTGCAGAATGAATGTTAGAAGCTGATTGGCTGTTATACACCTATACACAGCTGTTTGACTCTGGCTGCTCCAGTCTTAGTAAATCTCCCTCACTGTGTTTGTATGTGAGAGAGATATTATATATATATATATATATATCATATGTCTTTACTAGAAATGGAGAGTGCAAAATCTGGTGAAGCGCTACATAAAAACCAATCAGCTTCCAGGTATTTTTTTCAAAGCTTAACTGAACAAGTTGAAGTTAGAAGCTGATTGGCTACCATGCACAGCTGCACCAGATTTTGCGCTGTCCAGTTTTGTACATCAAGCCCAAAGTGTGTGTATGTAAATAAATATATATATATATATATATATATATATATATATTCTAGAGAGAACTATAGTGCAGTAGATTGTGCCCTCATGATAATCAGCTTAATTACAAAGTTAACACAGCAGGTTAAAGACACTTATTAAAAAAAAAAGACAGTTATTTAAGAAAGTGGCAGTTATTTAAGGCTGAGTCCAATGAGGTTTAAATTGTATAGTCAACTGGCTGAAATAGTTTTTTATTCTGCCAAAACATCTTTGTGAATCGAGCCTCTTTGCATCTTTGAACTTTGATATCTGATAAATGCAGCACAAAATGCACAGGACAACCATAGGCACACCTATAAGCTGAATGTTTGTTTTAGAAATACCTGTACCTTGTTGAACTTCGACTCTGAGGTTTTTTTTTTTTTTTTTTTTTTAAAGCCAAACGACTCTGGATTTTCCACATTTTGCTGATCAATCCTCATAAGCCAGTGTGCTTGTCTTCATTCCCCAGTGTACTTTTACAATAGCTGCAAGCTATATGTCATAGGCATAGGGACATATGAGTGATGGGGCAGGACTGAGGCCAGGTAGATGATCCTACAGTACAGCTGTGTCTTTGGAATGTTCTGCTGCCTGATGGATCTGATCACCCAGGCTCACACATTAATTCTGCACAATTAGCTGTGGCCCTGAGCTGTAGACTTGTTATAGGGACTTGTTCATTGTCTACAGAATTGCCTCCTATTTTGCAGTGTAAATCACCCGCCTGTCACTATTACACCTGTAAATGATGTGTAGTGCACATCCTGCTCACAAAATGAGACTCCAACAGCTGCATAAGGATATTTACACTGCTGGCTTACTATAGTATCATTATTGCACAGCTATAGTAACGTATGATGTGATGTCACCATAACTACACTTCAGATTGTACTTTATATTACCTACTCTGGCTTTACTGCTATTATAATATTACATTTGTTTCACTTTATAGTGTTCTATTGCATCATGATGGCACAGTGCCATGTTATGGTTTATGCTATTGCATTACTGTGAAAATAGTGCAATGAATGTAGCACTTTATAGTGTTTTATGACAATGTAATTTCACATGGTATATGTTATACAGCTATGTTAAATTATTTGTGTATGATAGGTTGCATTGAATTATAACTGTTCATAGCGCAATAAGCGCAAACTATAATTAGTGTGTTACAGTATGTGGGCATATGATATTATATGTCAGGTTGAAAGTGAATGTTATAGTAGAGTAATTATGTCATATTAAGGGCCATATAGTAGACATATTTTGTCCATAACAAATGCTGATTGCCTTCTAATGGGTTTCTGGACTGATCTTTGCCATGTTTCTAGAAGAGGCTCAGTCTCTATTACAGTATTTACTAGAACAAAGAAGTTGTCTTGGCCCCATGAAGCTGCTTTCTGGCATGCACTGTGTATATGATGATTACTGTATCCAGCTCAAGAGTTTGTACTGAGCAAGATAATTACAATGCATTGACCTGTCATGTTTCCCCTTTCAGAATATTCAAGGGATGACAGGGACCCCTATGGTGGCTTCCAGTCCCGAAAGACATGACGGTGGTTTGCAGGCTAACCCAGTAGAGGTGCAGAGCTACCAACCCCCATGGAAGGTCCTCAGTGACTTTGCCTTGCAGAGTGACATTGATCAGCCGGCATTCCAACAACTGGTAAGTTGTCACTGCTCAGGAGATCAGACCAAGTGGAGGAGCTGGCTCAAGGGGGAGTCCATTGTTAAGGGGGGGGGGGGGGGGTATGAAGCAAGTATCAAACAAGGAAAACAAGGAGTTACTTTACAATGTGGTATGTATGTGCTTATATGTTTGAACAGTATATATGATTATCCATTAAATTAGGAACTTATGACCAACAGATAAAGTGAATAACATTAATATCTCATTACAATGGCATCTGAAAGTGGGTGGGATATATTAGGCAGCAAGTGAACATAATGTGCCTGAAGTTGATGTGTTGAAAGTAGAAAAAATTGGCAAGCTTAAGAAGATCTAAGTAACTTTGACAAGGGCCAAATTGTAATGGCTAAATGAATGGGTCAGAGCATCTGCAAAACTGCAGCTCTGGTGGGATGTTCCCAGTTTTCAGTGGTCAGGACCTACCAAAATTGGGCCAAGCAAGGAAAACCAGCGAACCGGAGACAGGGTCATGGATGGCCTGGGCTAATTCAAGCATGTGAAGAGCTAGGGCTGGCCTGTGTAGTCTGATCCAATAGAAGAGCTACTGTAGCTCAAATTGGTGAATAAGTTAATGCTGGTTGCAGTAGAAAGGTGTCAAAACACAGTGCATCTGATTGCATATGGGGCTACATAGCCACAGATCGGTTATGGTGCCCATGCTGACCCATGTCTAGAGCCAAAAGCACCTACAATAGAAATGTGAGCAGCGGAACTTGACCGGAGGGCAATGGAAGAATGTGGCCTGGTCTGATGAATCATGTTTTCTTTTACATCATATGGATGGCTGTGTGTGTGTATCCCTTTCTTGGGGAAAGAGATGGCACCAGGGTGCACTATGGGAAAAAGGCAAGCTGACAGAAGCATTGTGATGCTTTGTCTAGTGGAGTTCATGCCTTGATGGGTCAAGGCTGGTTTGGTGGCAAAAGGGGGATCTACTCAACAATAGGTGGGTGGTGATGGTGGTCATAATTGTATGGGTGATTGGTGCGTATGTATATGTATATATATATATATATATATATATATATATATAGTGTGTGTGTGTACAACATTATAGTATACCCATTTTCTATGCCCATTTACAACTATGTAGCTTTGTATGTGTGCACAAAAGTATAGTTCAGTATATATAAAAATATAAACATTTAAATAAATAAGTATATTGGAAAAAAAATGAAAAAAGATATATATATATATATTTTTTTTTTAATGTGTGTGTATATATATATATATATATAATATATATATATATATATATATATACACACACCTTATTACCAACAGTTGAACCACATCCTTTCTGGGAGTGCTGGATTATACATCTGTACCCATCAACGTTTTTGTATTGTAGTGTTCAGGTAGTTCATGAACAAAGAGATAACTTTTTTTCTCAATTATGGTCTGTGGTTGTCTAGCAATTCCTTACACACTCTTCTTTCTTTTGTCCTGCTTCTAATTGAAGGCCTGTTTCTCACAGGTTAATTTTTCAGAAGGGGGACCAGGCTCCAACTCCACCGGAAGTGAGGTGGCCTCCATGTCTTCTCAACTCCCAGATACTCCAAACAGCATGGTAGCCAGCCCCATCGAAGCATGAGGAGAGTGAACTCTATGGTCTCCCAAACCCTCCCCTTTTTTCTATTGGAAAAGCGGGATTAAGTATTGGCTTGAACTTCAACAAAGTTATCTGACGACCCAGTTGATGCACCAGAGCACCCAGGATAGTCCATCTGATGCATGGAAGGCCATCTAGAGCAGATGGCATGGTAGCAACACTGTGAAGACAATCATGGGATCTTACTAGGATTGAACAATGTCCATGGTCGTGAGGGCCTTACCAGTCCAGGACAAGGGCAAGACAAGGGTCATAGAGGATTTAAATTTTGTGGATCTTGGTTCTCTCTATCCTTTAGCACACTTCAAGACAACACCACCAACTGACCACGATGGAGAGTAAGCAGTGAGATGATCTTAATCCGAATGGTGCTGTTTATCACAACATTTAACCATTGCCTTGCCAAACAGGAGCTCCACAGAGTCTGAGACTGTAGACCAGCTAAGTGGACAAGGACTGCAGGAATCTTAAAGGATTACAGGTGGAGCTGGTTTACATGTGGTTAGCAATGTTTTCAACTGACTCAAAGAAAGGGGGGGACTGTTTAAAAATAAAAAAAACAAACCCAGGCTCCCACCTAGCATGTAACTATTTCTGAGACTCCCCCCCTCTTCAATCATCTAGTCCAAAAAAAACCTAAAACATTGCTTTATTTTATTTGATCGCCTTTTTTTAAGTTTTCATTTTTCCCCAACAATATCCAATTCTGAGAAGCATTGCAACAACAAGGTATACCTCTATTTTGCCATAGGCGTTTCTGGATTGTGTTGATCCTTGACAGACATTAAGAACTTGTATCCCCCCAAAGATGTGTATAGTTATTATTATTAATATTATTATTATTGGTCTCAATGACTGGTCTCTCTCTTTCTCTCTCTCTGCAATTCATGAGAAAGGGAAACTTTTTTTTTGTTTGCTATTGCATTGCAAAAATTATAAAGTAATTTATTATTTATTGTCGAAAGACTTGCCACTTTTCATGTTATTTGAATCTATTTTTTGTTTGCTGAAGTAAAGATGAAAAAAACAAGATAAAAAAAAAAGAAAAACGTGACGTCTGTATTGTGGTCTCTGAATTTAATGTCGTGTCTTGGTGTGTTTGATGTCTCCTATTTAATGTATGTGTCAAATAAATTAGCCCTATGGATCATCAGAAGGTGTGTTAATGGCAAGAAATATCCCCAGTCCCCACAATCAGTGGGGCAAACTGACAGAGATCCCATGTAGACCAACTGAGGCTGTATATCAAGGAGGTACCAAGTGCAGGGCTGTGTGGAAAGTATAGGCACCTAGGAATGACAGAGGCACCTTGTAGGCAGATCAATAAAATGTGAAACCCTATTAGCTGCTATAGATTACTGCAGCATGCTCAAATGTATGAATAAGTGTGCTTATGCCTTGAACACATAGGGGGATATTTACTAAAATCTGGTGTGGCTCTGCATGGTAGCCAATCAGCTTCCAGGTTTTATTGCTAATGCTTAATTGAACAAACTGCAGTTAGAAGCTGATTGGCTACCATGCACAGCTACACCAGATTTTGCACTATGTAGTTTTATTAAATCTCCCCCATACTGTATATGTGTGTATGTACAGTATGCGCATGTGTGTATCTGTGTAATATGTGTATATGTGTGTGCATGTGTATATATATGTCTATTTTATGTATATGTATATATATATATATATATATATATATATATAATACTTATATAATATATAGAGGGATAGATAGAGTATCTATCTACAATATACACAAGTGTGTGAACAGAGAGATGCAGATATACAATCCTCTGGATCAACTGTGGGTATAGGATTATAATTTTTTTTTTTTTTCTATGGTTGAACTGGATGGACTTTAGTCGTTTTTCAACCAGACTATGTAACTATGTAACAACAAAGATGTGTGTGCATATATTTATATATAAATGTGTGTGTGTATATATATATATATATATATGTGTGTAAATGTGTGTGTGTGTATATATATATATATATATATATATATATATATATATATATATAAAATGTGTGTGTGTGTGTTTGTGTATATATATAAATTTTACACATTAACACAGTAACAAATGGGTTTAGCCATTCAAATATATCTTTATACCTAATGAAGTATTCAGTAATTAGTAAGATGTCACTTAACTTACAGCTGGCGCTATAGTCACTGTCCTTCACTATTTCTTCTTGCATCCTTATTTTTTTAGCATAATCAGGATATTTGTTAGCATAGAATTAATAATCTTTTAACATGGAGAAAGCCATGTCTGCCAGTGTAGCATATATAACATATGTGTATGTACAGCATTACAGTATACGTGTGTGTAACTTTGTATGTATGTGTACAAGTGGAGAAAGCCATGTCTGCCAGTGTAGTATATATAATATATATTATGTGTATGTACAGCATTACATTATAAGTGTGTGTAACTTTGTATGTATGTGTACAAATGGAGAAAGACATGTCTGCCAGTGTAGTATATATAATATATATTATGTGTATGCAGAGCATTACAGTGTATGTGTGCATAACTTTGTATGTATGTGTACAAGTGGAGAAAGACATGTCTGCTAGTGTACCATATATAACATATTATGTGTATGTACAGTATTACAGTATATATGTGTGTAACTTTGTATGCTTCTTAGATGAAGAATGACATGTCTGCTAGTGTACCATATATAACATATTATGTGTATGTACAGTATTACAGTATATATTGTGTGTAACTTTGTATGCATGTGTACAGATGAAGAATGACATGTCTGCTAGTGTACCATATATAACATATTATGTGTATGTACAGTATTACAGTATATATGTGTGTAACTTTGTATGCATGTGTACAGATGAAGAATGACATGTCTGCTAGTGTACCATATATAACATATTATGTGTATGTACAGTATTACAGTATATATGTGTGTATACATTTGTATGCATGTGTACAGATGGAGAAAGCCATGTTTGCTAGTGTTTCATATATAATATATATTATTATGTGTATGTACATCATTACAAATATGTATGTGTACAAATGCCAGTGTAGAATATATATATATAATATAATATAATATAATATAATAAATACAATACATAGTTGTTTAAATACAGCTTAGTTTACCAACAAGAGATAGATAGATAGATAGATAGATAGATAGATAGATAGATAGATAGATATATATATAACCTAGGCATGATTTTAAAAATTGTATGAAAAATTAAATACACATATATCTATATCTCCCCATATAGTGTCAGTGATGGGTAATCCACAGGGCAGGGTGCAGTGTGTACATGGGGGGGGGGGGGGGGTCGGTGTGCACAGCCTGCAGTTGCGTGTGTACCTGCATCCTATAGAACAATACACACACAGTTGTTAATATTCGGGACTTCATTGAGTCACACAGCCTGCGTTTATTTATTTTTTATAATAAAGAGAGAAAAAGGCCTTTGAAATGTTATTTGTTTTAGCGATCCCTATTGAACTCTGTGGTTACTGACAAAAGTCAGTTGTAGTGAATGTTTGTCTTTGGGTCTTGTTATGGTCATTGGCAAATCCACAATTATTTACCCTGAACTGCTTGTGATGGGAAATATTTTTGCACCATGGCGCTGTTTTTGTTTCCTGTGTGTTTACTGTCTAGGTCACGTTTGGCTGGGTCATTGCAGGTTATTGCAAGGGGGATTGTGGATTAGCAGGTGCTGGAGCACTACAAGCGTCAGCATAGACTACCTAGCTTGACTAATGAAATGCATGTTTTCGGTGCTCCAGTTAGATATATTTACTATTCTATCTCTCTTTATAGAATACATTCATATAAGTGGTTGTTACCCCCAACAAAATATCCTTTTAGGGACCTTGCGCAGGGGTGTGCCCACAGTTCTCAACTTCATGCAGCTGTCTTCAATAGTGTCGGAGATACATCCAGATGGTGGCAACACTGACGCCTTTCCACTGCCGATTGCTCAGCAAGTTCAGCAAACCTTTCCTTTATTGTTTCATTCTGATTTTTTAACTTTGTTCTTGCAAAGATTACAGATTGGTTTAGTAACCGATATAATGAAGTGGATAAGAGAGAAGATATACGTTTTTTTTTTTCCTTTTGCCTACCAAAGATGCTGAAATACACGATTGTATAGGTTTTGTGGAACGTTTGTCTGTAGTTGTAACAGGACCCTAATATATCAATCCAGTAATACAGGCTCAGTTCACAAAGATAACTCACCAGGAAGGATGCCTGGTTTCAAATGAAGTGACTTTTTAAAGCTGATTGGAAAATTACAGACACATGGCAAAAACAAAAACTCCTCCTTGTGTGAAAGCTTTGTGAATCAAGCCTTATCGTTGGCATTGCTACTCCTTGTTAGTGATCAGATAAGGGGACATCATTCACATTTAGAATGAAATGAATTACTATATCTCTGGCCCATTTAACCAAAACGTACAACACTGATATCATGTTTTCCTTACTGACAAATGATTAGAAGTAGACTTTAATTGCCGGAGGTTGGTCGGAATTTCTATTATGTACACCTGCCGGCGGACCTCATACATTCTATACAAAGCTCTATATATTACAGGAAGCAGCTAAAGGGTTAAAAGAAGGGTGGGATATTCTATCCCGTTATTGCAAGGCTCCAGAAAGTGTTTGCCGCATGGAAACAAAAAATGCATTTTTCAGCTTTTTTTTATTTGTTTTTTTTTTTCATTAACAATAGCGAAAAGCATCGAATGTATCGCTTGTTTGTTGAAAGTTCGCATTTCTCTCTAAAAAAAACCAAAAAAACTTTGTTCTTGTTCTGTCGGATGATCGTGGTTTGTCTCCTTTCTTTCCATGAAGATGAATGGATAATCGGCTTGTTGAACTTGTAGGTATAGGAAACGATGCGATAGAGAATTATCGGGTGAGGGCTATTCACCAATCGATGTGCGATGTTTAACTTGTTGGGGAGGTATAGATATATGTGT